CCTGACCAGGTGTGGGGAGTGGGGCCCGCACGAGAGCTCTCTGTGACCCCTAAGCTCTTTGGGAAGGACCTTGTGGGGTCATGAGACAAATGGGGTTCTGCCATGCGGACAGTTCCAAAGGGAAGGCACGTGGCTGCTGGAAAACAGCGTCTTGTGACTTGCTGTCAGCACGGGCCTTTGTGCGCCGGCTAAATCGGTTCCCGGGCAGCTATATTTAGAAAGGGGGAAAGCAGAGGGGATGAATGAGATGCCCACAAAGAAGCGAAAACAGGACTGCAGGGTGAGTGAACGCTGGGCTGGGAGCAGGAATGAGCTGGCTGGTGGGCGGAGCGGACAATGGGGCTTGGTGACGAGGGGTGACAGTGCACTGAGGCGGGAGCAGAAGAAAGGGCGCTCTCTGTCTGCCCAAGGATGACTCCGGTCATGTGAGAGTGTGTAAGTCCGAGGACACTGCCAGGCGAGGCCCTGAGGCTCATGTCATTCCTGGTCTGGAAGGAGGGCCATGGCCCTGGCCCGGGAGGGCTCCTTCCCAAGGGCAGGAAGGCTGGCAAGCAAGAGGATGGGCAGATCCAGGCCTTCCCACCTGAATTCAGGCAGGTCCTTCTCCACCTGAACCCAGGCCAATGCCCACACATCCCACAAAGCCTCAAGAAGTGTCATCCCCTATGAAAAGCCCCTCTGCAGCCCTGCAGTCCACGCCCAACCAGGCTGGGCGAAAACCCCTTCCTCGGGTATCTCAAGTTCCATGGATACCCCCTGGATACCATGTGCATTTCCTGTAGCTGTTGTAACAAATCACCACCAACTTGATGACTTTAAATCACACACATTTGTCATCTCACAATCCTAGAGGTCAGGAGTCTGACATGGCCTCATGGGTCTAAACCCAGGCAGGGCAGGCCGCTCCTCTGAGGCTCCGGGGACCGTCTCCTGCCTGTGGCAGTTTCTAGAGGTGCCGCATCTGGGCTCAGGCCCTTCCTCCGTCCTCACAGCCACACGCACCTTTGACCCTCCTCCTCCCTATATAAGGACTCTTGGGAGGACATTGGACCCAGGAATCCAGGACCCCCATCTCAGAGGCCTTAACTCAGTTCCACCTGCAAAATCCCATTGCAACTGACGGCATCAGTCACAGGTTCTGGGGACTGGGATGCGGACATCATGAGCGGGAAGCTGGGCACTGAAGGGCACCAGGCAGGAGCGGCTGCGGCGGCGCAGCTCTTTACTGCAGAGACTGCTTCCAGGTACTCGCTCTGTCAGGACAGGCCCCAGGACCAGGCAGCCAGTGACAGTGCACCTAGCCACACTGGACACAGTGGCATGGGTCCAGCAGGAGACACTCTGCAGGACGGGGGTGGTCGTCCGGGCACAGACATCGCCCAGCATGGACCCCGGGCCTGGGTGCCTGCAGCTCCTCGCCTGTGCTCTGGCCTCCGCAGCACCAGCGTGGGAGGTGGCACACAGCAGCTGCAGGACCGCCGCGGCCCCTGAGCAGCTGGGGCACCTCCAGGCAGACCCCACCCACTGGTGGCTTTATAGAGTCCTGGCAAAAGCAGACCCAGAGAGCCTCTTCCTAAGTGCTAGCTGTATTTAGGGACAGTTTTCATGTTAAAAATGAAATTAAAGAAAAATAGTTCAACAATATTACTTATTGAGCTGGCTAGAGACTTGCCTCGTGTGGGGAACCAGAGTCTACAGCAGTGACTCTGCCCCCCTACCCGGGACACTGGGCCATGTCGAGGACACATGTGAGTTGACAACTGGGGGTGCTCCTGGTATCAAGTGGGTGAAACCAGGGATGCTGCTCACCACCCCATGGTGCCCAGGGCGGCTTCCCACAGCGAGAGATCTGTACCCCAACTAAGCAGCACAGGTGAGGGAGAAGCCCTAGTCTGAAGAATCCCCAGCCGGGAGCTGCTTTTTGGTGAAATGTGTGTGTGTTTCACTCCCATCAGGTTGCAGTGAGAAGCCCGGGAGGGCTCCTGGGCACCCACTCCTGGCCCAGCAGGTGTGGACACAAGGGCTGGGGGGTCAAAGGTCAGGCAGTGCAGGTAGTCCCTGCACTAAGGCAAAACATCAGGTGAAAACTCTATTTGGTCTTGCCCCGTATGTCTGGCTGGAAACTTGACCCCCCCAAACAGCAGCAGAGGGGCAGAGAAGCAGGGACTTAACTTTTGACAAGTGCAGGCAGAGGAGAGACTTCTGGAGGGCTGGACAGAGGAGGTGTCGCTGCGCTGCTGAGTCCTCATGTGGGGCCAAAGAGAGGAAGGAAGGGGCCCGGTTACCACAGCACACCCTGCTGAGATCCAGAGCGCCAGCCCTGGGAGGGAGGGCTGCAGCAGGCGCTCCGGGAGGAGGCAGCCCTTGACTGGCACAGGCCCTGGGAGAGTGAGTTAATCCTCCGCTCCAAGTTGCGGTTTTCATAACCCGCATGGAATTCCTAACAATGCGATCGGTGTCTGCTTCTACCCATGCCGACATCCCCTTTCTCATCTGTCCAAATTCCATTCCGTTTTGTCTAGCTAATGCAGAAGTGCAGCCAAGCCCCGCGCGGCCCAGGAAGAGCGGGGGCGCCTGAGGCCTTGCTGGAAAGGGGACCGAGATCGCCTGGATGGGGCACCCGTCTCTCAGGCCCTGCAGAGTTTAGGGAAGACGCCGGGGTCAAAACTGGCACACAGGAAGGAGAGCAAGGTCTGGCAAGGAGTCCCCAGAGATGCGAGCCCACGTGCCCCTACAGGACTTGGGCAGCTGGGCAGCTGTGTTCTCTGGGATTTCCACAGGAGCCCAGGGAGTTTCTAAGACTTTCCCCCTACCTCAGACCCACCTTGACAGCTTGATGGAGTAAGAGGCTATGTAGAAGGCCACAGGGTGTGGAGCTGGGGGTGAGCCCTGGGATGGAAGGACAGCAGCCTCCACCTCTAGGCCCAGGCACCCAGGGCCATGTGGTCAGCAGCCCCAGCTGCCCTGCTGCTGCCTGGGGTGGTTCTGCTTTGACCCTTCTTGAGGGGGCACACGTAAATGGGCCCTGGACTCTGCCGGGAAAATGGGGGAAGAGGCGCCCACACTTCACTGTTGGAATGAAGGACCCAGCACCCATACCCACTTTTCACTGTCTTCAAGGTCAGCAATGGCCTGGCCAGGGTGAGGAGTCCTCCTGGGGCACAAGCTCTAAGGGGCACTGACAATTTTGCTATGGCAATAAGTCACATTTTCTTGAAAAAGTCAAAATCAATGCAAAGGACCAAGCAAATATCAAGTTTTTCATTAGAGACAGGACCTCATCAGGTCGGGGTTAGGGTGAGGAGTTGCCTCTGCTTAAAAAATCAGATCACCACGTGTATTTTCCTCTTGGCATTCATTTGGAATTTGAAGAAATATTGTGTTAAGATATGACTTATCTCGATGGCCAGGTTTCTAGAGCCCTCTCCTGTAACCCTGCCCTGGGAAGGGGGCCTGGGAGCTTTGCTGTTCTCCGGGCCTGCCTGCCTGCAGGCTGCACAGAGCAGAAGCCGGCACCCTCGTGGGGCTGGAGGAGGCAAACATCCATTCACGTCTGTGATTAGTAACAGCGGGGCTGTTACTAATGACACAGCCATGTGTCAGCACCTGCTTCTTCCTACAGCTCCTCTCACAGACGTGGCATGACCCACCCAAGCCATGCCCTGGACGACAGCAGGGAGATGGGTCCCCGGGACACAAGCCTGCCCTGAGCAGCAGCCGCTGCCGGACCATTCGGACTCCAGAGTGAGCCGTGAGAGGCTTCAAGGGGAGCCCCACGGAGACTGCAGGGGAGCGGACTCTTGCAACGTCTTAGAAGCTGCAGTCCTTTCGGGGGGCAGGGGGCAGGTGTGGGAGGGAACACCCAGTGGCCTCCGCATCTCCCTGGATGAGGGAGACTGCCAGCCTAGCACCCACAGGCACTCAGTTCACAGCCGCCTTCTGGCTGCCAAGGGCACACCTGCCAGCAGCTTGAGAGGTCAGCCATTGAGCAGTAAAGTGTCCCCTCCCTCCACCTCACCACAAGTCCACCTGGGAGCACAGTCAGGGCCTCCCAAAGGGTTCCGATGAAGCCCCTAGAACATAGTGCTGCCCCGCTCCCAAGTCCTTCTGCTTCTGAAACTTATCATGGGACACGCGGAATTTAAACGATACCCTCTACCAACAGACGATCAAGTCCAAGAAGTCACTGGAAAAAGCAGAAAACCCTCTGGCCAATGAGAAAGAAAAGCTGACCCGAGCAGGCTCAGAGCAACATTGACGGCTGCACAGGCTACGCCGGGACAGATCTCAAATCCATGACCTGATTTTGCACTCTAAGGAACTAGAAGGGGAAGAGCAGAAGAAACCCAACGACAGCAGGAGGAAGGAAATGACGAGGACAAAGTGGAAGATGATGAACGAAACAGAGACGAGAAAAGCGAGAGGGATAATTGGAGAAACCGAAAATCGGTTCTTTGAAAAGACGGACAACATTGGCGGATGGTCAGTCAGACCAAGCAGGGTTAAAAGGAAGACCCAAGTGACCGAAGCTGGCTCGGGCATGGACCCCTCTGTGCAGTTTGGCCGTGCAAGGGAGGATGAGAACCCTGCAAACAACTGTCCCCCACGAGCCAGGTGACGCACGCAACACGGCTTCCTGGGACACGCATTGCTGTGTCCTCACTAGCCCCGCCTGGTTCCGGACTCACATACACAGAGCCAGCTTCCAGGCAGGCCGTGCACCTTTAGATCTGCAGTCTTTTCATCTTCGCAACATCCTTGGGAAGTTGGAGAAAGTTATTTCCGGTGTGGAGAGATAAAAGGAATCCGCCCAAATGTGACTGAGCTGGTGGGTGGGTGGGGGACCTGGGATTTGAACTCAGGTCTCCTGGCCCTCAGCCCAGAGCTCTGATACAATTCCCAGTGTGTCATGTGCACATGAAAACCCCAGGCCTGTTTGTTCCTTTTTCTAAAAAAACAAGAGATTCCAAGCTCATGAAGTAAGACGGAATGCTACATACCTTTTTCAGTTTTTCCAAGAAACACTGCTTTCCCCTGTTTGAAAAAAAGGAGAGAGAGAAAATTAAAAGCAAGGTTAAATACTTTTCACTTAACCGTCTCCAGCTTTTCTCAGAGAAATACTTGGCTGTCGCCAAAAATGTGGTCCTCGGATTGGAAACAGCCTCTTCCAGAGAAACTGGGGGTGGGCGGGGGGCGGGGGGAGGAGAATGGACTTTGTTCTTTACAATCGATCCATTCGGGAAACCTAACAGTATCCCTTCGCGGCACGGGGGCAAGTCAGGTTTTCTTCTGGAACCTGTATTATTCCATGCCGGCTCACGAGGACCCCGAGCCTCAGTCCAGTTCACGGGAGCTGCCAGCACAAGAAAAACAAAATACCCGCGGAACCCAGCTTTGAAACGTGATGCATGGTGTTTTTCCGTCCCTGCTTTTCTACTTTGATGTGAGCCACATGTCGGGGCCGAAAAGGGAGCGGTGGAAAATGCGAACTGGGGGCAAACCAATTAACCTCGCGCGGGAGAGGTGACAGGTACTGGGGCATGGGAAGGCGGGGATCTGACGCTGGTCACCCAGGGCCAGAAGGTCAACAGGAAGGGAAGGAAGTCCCCATAATGAGACCCTAGGGGTGGGGTCGGCATTTTAGAGCCACTGATTTTCCAGGGACCAGGACTCCTACTTTAAGTGGAACCCTGGACAGAGCCAGCACCCCCATCTCTCTACGATCCTGTTTATGCAGCACAAGGGCCCTGGGGGCTGCTGTCCAGCTCTTGGGGTGTCCCTGACACTAGATGCCGTCTTATACTCCGCTCTCCAAGCTGCACCAGCTGCTCTGAGAATGCACCACCTGGGGAGGCCCAGCTCCCCACTTTCCACCAGGGCTGGGAGGGAGAGGAGAGAGGTACCTGTCCCATGACCACTGCTTCACTGTCTACGTGTCCAGCCAGGGCAGACAGACTCGTCAGGCCGAGCTCCCAGGGGACCCTGCAGTTGCCCAGCCACAGACCTCACTTCAAAAGCCAACAGCTAGACCACACTGGAGTTTAGGGGGGCTGGTCCCGCGGGCTCATCCTGCTCTGGACTTTCCCTGGGGAGGGTTTAGTCCTTGCCCAGACCAAGCCAGGCCTGACTTCCTGAGCTGCAGGCTTGCTGGGGAGGCGAGGGGTGGGGTGGGCGAGACTGTTTCCCTCTGCCTGCGAAGGTCTCCTGTGGTCTCTGCGAGCCGGTCCCTCTTCCTTTACAAACATTTTTGCTTTCCACCAACCAGCGGGGTTTTTCCACCTACACTGAGGGACGCGCTACTGTTGCCGCCCCTGGGCTACCGCCTAGCGCAGAGCGAGGCTTCTCAGGGGCTGGGGGGCCGGCAGGGGAGGTTGGGGTAGGGGGCTGAGGTCTGATGGAAACCTCCTTCCCCAAGACCTGGCAAGAGCGGCTCCAGGGTCTCAGCCACAGGAGGGAGGTGGCTGGGGGTGGCTTTCTCCAATGCGGGGACTGTCCCCCTGGGCACTGCTGACATTGTGAGAGGTCATTCTCGGAGGGGGGGGTGTCCTGGGCACTGTCAGGAGACCCCCCCAGTTGTGATGACTACAGATGTCACTAGACATCACCTTCTATCTCCTGAGAGGCAGCACTGCCTGGGCGAGACCCCCTTTGGGTAGGGGGTTCCATTGGCCCCAGGAGCTTGCCTTCCATCCTCACCTGCGCTCCCAGGGTTCCGAGGCACTGGGCACATTTACACACACTGAGCGGGGGGACATAACTCAGACGTGGGGGCGCCCTGCGTGACAGCATATGTGAGGGGCTCCGACAGCCGCCCTGCCTGAGTGGCGTCCGCATGGGCCCGGGCTCCAGCAGGCTTTCCTGCAGGATGTTGGCCAAGAAGCACAGTGTGGCGGCCCCGACAACCTGGGCAGGGTCTGCTGGGAAGGACCGGAGCGGAGCTGCCAAGAGGGTTTAAAAGCTGGAACCCATGCAGGCCAGCTCTGCGGGGGATGGCTGCGGGGTGTTCCTGGTCCTGGTGCGCTCCTCGACTCCTCTGCACAGCTGGCTCCCACGCACCCCTGGCCTCAGTGGGCGGGCGGGCACCCTCTTCCTCCCTTCACCCTCCCCCATGTGTGCAGCTGGGCCCGGATGCTTTGCTGAGCAGGCCAGCCGCCGTCGTCGTGCCGAGGCTGGCTGCTGCGTGGGCTCTGGTCTCTGCGCCCCGGCGCTTTCTGGGGCAGGACCGGCCGCATCTCGGCCCAGACCGGCCTACACATCTCCCTCAGCGCTCCCTTCACTCACTCTCTGTGTGTCCTGCGTTTGTATCTTGCAGGTGAGGCCGCGCCCCTTGCCCTAGGGCACCTTTTTTAGAGCATGCCCTTGTCCTCAGGTGAGGTCTGCGGCACTTCTGTACATGTATTTCTCTCTGACTTTGGAAGGAACACAATTTCATTTTACAAAATCTGGACATAAATAAAGTGAGGAAAATCATGCACAATCCCAGCACCTCATTTTCCTCAAGGCCTATTCACATACTCCCTGATTTTTATAAATTTGGCCCCTCCATACTGCTTGGCCACTGCCTTTAAAATGTTTTGTCCGCAACATCACACTGTGAGGAGACTTTTTCGTGCCATCACAGATTCTCTTAACACTGGACTTTAAAAAAAGACAAACTTCAGGGCCTCCCCGGTGGCGCAGCGGTTGAGCGCTGGGTTGCGAAGCTGCTCGCGGCCTCTGCGGCTCCGGTTCGATCCCCGGCTGCTCCCTGGCCACTGGAGGAGGGTCCCGCATGGCGCTCAGACCTCTCCTGCCGCCCGCTGCTCCCCTCAGCAGTGTCCTTCGGTCCTTCTGCCTGCTCTGCTCCCCGCTCTGGCTCTGGTGAAATCTCTCACCCTCCCGCGCTTCTGACTGTACCCAGTGCTTGTATAAATAAACAAATAAACAAATCTTAAAAAAAAAAAAAAGACAAACTTCACTTTGTAATAATTTTAGGTTGGGGGAAAGTGGCAACAATAACAGCGAGTTCCCACCTGCCCTTCGCCCAGCTTTCCCGAGGCCGCCATCTTTTCAGAGTGAAGGAAACAAACAGCACATTATTATGAATGAAACGTCAGGCTGTGTCTGAATTTCCCATTTCCACCCAGAAGTCTGTTTCTTCATGCAAGGACTGTCCAGGAGACAGCAGTGCATTTATCAATATGACTTTTCATGTCTGTGCTCCACACTATGGAAGTTCCATAATTTATATCATTATTGCTGTTACAAAGGCGCCCCTCAGAGATACTGTGCTTGCAATAAAGCAAGGCACGCAGATTTTTTGGTTTCCTGGTGGATTAAAAGTCATGTTGACACCATCCTGTAGTCTAAAAACAATGTGCATGCCTTAGTTAAAGATGACACAGACAGGAAGTAAATACGTGCTGTTGGAAAAAGGGCTCTGACAGGCTGCTCCAGGCAGGCTTGCCACAAACCCTCAACTGTAAAAGACATAGTATCTGCAAAGTGTGATAAAGTAGGATGGTCTTGTATTTATGATTGCTTATTATTGGACTTGGAGGTTGTTTCTGATTCTTTCCTCTTTTGAAATAATCAGACCATGAAAACATATGCATGTCAGATGAACATCCAGATGCACGAAACCTGGTGCATGTCTCATTTTCTCAGAGGTGACTTCCTGAACACCAACTAGGCTCACAGGTACAGAGGACATGACGCAGCTCCCCACCTGGCCTGCAGAGAGTTTAGTCCAGCAGCAGGGAGCTCATCCACTTCCCTAGACAACCCTGGGCACTGGACTGTAATTCTTGCATATTTTCTTTTTCCACACTCTTTTATGAAAGCACAATATGCACACAGAAGAGTGTATAGCTCATTCATGGACAGTCTCATGCATTTTATAAATGTACGTACCTGAGCTGGGACATAGGCCATTGCCAATACCCTGGGGGGAGGGGGCGAAGGGGCTCCTTTGGAGTGACTTGCTATTTTGATGTTAATATTGGTCATTTTCATTATTAAGATTATCCTGATGTTTGCTCTGCAGATAGAAAAGAGAGCACAGATTCTGACTGCAGGATGAGATGTTTGGGTGAAAAGGAAGAACTTAGAAGATTCTAGAAACTTCTAGAAGACAGCCAGCCAGCATCTGCTCAGAGGTGCTCTGGTCCCAGGCGCAGTGAGGGATTTTGAGCAAGCTCCAGTCCTGGCTCTGGACACCTCACAGGGTCTCTGAAACTTGCTGCCCTCACCTGTAATGTGGGGTCCCTTCAGTATTACTCTTGGAGTCAAGGGAAGGTCAAAACTAGACTAGCACAGGGCCCGGTGCTTCAGAGGGCACCGATCCACGGTAACAATAAAATCAAAATTATATATATATATATTGTTTGCAACATATAGCCACACAGAAGTAATCCCGAGTTGGTGGCAATAGGAGCTGTGGCTCCTGGGTAAAGGGCCGATGGGCTGGGGACCAAGTCAAAGGCCGATTGGTCCTGGGGCAGCAAGGGAAAGGCTTGGCATCCTGGCTCCATTGCTTGACTTTCTCCTGATTTTCTGGATGCTGAAGTCTCTGTGGGGGACACGGCTGGGGTGAGGTCAGTAGGTGTTGGGGCGGGGATGTCACGCTTACTCGGTGTTTGTAACGGGTCAGAAGTTTAATTTCCCTTCCTTTCAACACCTGTGAGAAGGTGGACTGGGCGGGTCCCTGACGCTCTGGACTCATATGCTGCTCTGTGCTCACTTGTCAAGAAGGCAGGAAAACACCCAGCCCTGGTTCCCTGATTATGCTTTTCATTAGCAGGCTCTGCTTCCTGCACAGGGCAGGCGGGGGTCTTCATGCGTGCATGTGTCTGTGCAAGGGCATGCAGGCGTCTCTAGGTCACTAGATCAGGGGGTCTCACCCAGGTGGATGCTGCTCCTAGGGGACACTGGGGGCATCTGTGGTTGTCACGACAGGGGTGCTCCTGGGTGCTCTGGCCTTCAGTGGGTGGGGCCAGAGACATTGCTCACACCCCATCTTTTCCAGAATGGCCCCCCCAGACAGTGACCCGGCC